TTATTTTATATTATTTAACTATATTCTTAATATTTTAACTCGTTAAATAATTATTTAGGTTATTAATTATTTAATATTTAATTAAAATACTTAATTATTAATCAAAATAATTAAATTATTTTATTAAATTCAATAGTTAAATATACCTTAACTATTTAATATTTAAAATAATTAGTTTACTAAATATACCTTAACTATTTAATATTTAAAATTATCATTTATTTAGTAGATTTAATATTTAATTAAAATAATTATACAATATCTAATTAGTTTATCAAATTTAATAGTTAAATATATCTTAACTATTTAATTATTAATTGATTATATTTAATATTATTATTTAATATTTTAAACAAAATACAACTCATTTTAAAAAATATCTTCGTAAAACAAATTCTACATGCCTTTTCCATTGTGTCTTTTGCTTTCTTCGTGGTTTTTATATATCTTTTCATCGTTCTCCTCTGTTTATTAATCATTTGCCTCTTCTCCTCTGTTCTATTTTGATTCTTTGATTTGCTTTGCCTCTTCTTCTTGCTTTGTTTCACTCCTACAACTTTTTTTTTTAATGTTTTCCTTGCCTTTTTCTCATTTGATAACCATGACATCATCATCCTCTATCATTACAAGAGTAACACCAACCTCCAATAACAAATTTTATTTTAAATCTATTGACAATCTTGATTTGGTTAGAATTGAAATTTTTATAAAGACTAGAGCAAGAAAACAATTATTTGTGATTTTTGTGACTACTGTTCAACAAGAGGAATAACAAGAGTTAAGAAGCATCAGTTGGCGATAAGGGAAGAAGTAAAATCTTGTAGAAAAATACCAGATGGTATTAAACAAATACTGTAAGAGATTTATGATAAAAAAAACAAGATGGTATTAATGATATATGTCTATGTCTGGGATTAATATCAATGAAGAGGATGATGGTGTGATAGAGTTATTTTATAATTTGATTTTGATGGGATTTGCATGTTATTTCAATTTCTATTTTTAAGTATTTATGTATGTTATTGGAATTTATGTTTTATTATGTATATTGTTTTTTGTCTTTATTAATAATGTTCATCTCGCTATCCGTTACACCGTTATATTATTTTAGGAGTTTGGCGCTACACACTTGTTAGTTGGGATTTGGGATTTTTGATAAGACCTCAAATTTCAATTAAAATGAAAGAATAATGAAGGGACATTGAGCGAAGTTTTGAATACTGCGTAAGAGCGTGATCGACACTCATGTGGACGACACTTCAACAAATATACCTTGAATTAAATATTGAAAGGTAGCCTGAAGAAAGATTTGTGGACTTAGGATTGTTTGGATAAAACAATTGTATGGACTAAGGCAGTTAGAGTATACAAATGTGATTGTATAACTATCTTTTGGCCTTATTCACATTAGAGGGAGGCGTGGAAGCGGATTTACGAAATTAAAAGACATCAACGAAGAACGTGGCGTTCAAGGGAGAAAAGTCTGCATTTAACAGTTATTTATATTTTAATATAAATAATATTTTTATAATAGAACTAGGGATGTCAAATTTACTATCAAACTCACACAAAATTCAAAGTATCCAGCAAAGAGTGAAATGAATCCCAAAAATGTAATGTATGTTTGATCACCGAATTTCCATTTATGCAAAGTTTTACTTTCAATTTTACTTTACATGTCTGTATTTTTCAAGTTAAAGTTTTACTTTCACTTGCTTTAATTTTCAGAACGTGATCTTGGCCACTGTTGAAATCACTCACACGCTTACTATTTTTATGATTATTTAGAAAATTTCACGCATATTATTTCAAAATTTCCTAATCGATTTCATAAAATAACCTTTAACAAAAGACTAACATTATTTACCAAATTTCAGGATAAATAACACCATTCAAGATTTACCAAATTTCACGATAAATAACACCATTCAAGATTAACATAACCTATGGAGTAAGTGAATGGATCCAAATCATAAGTAGTGGCACTAAGACCGAAATCTAGCTAGCGCCTAAAGAAGTGGTGTCTCTGGTCCAAACATGGAAAACAACTCATAATTGTTTGTATGGAGCCTTGGCGACAAAATAGAAATAGATCCAAGGATGGTCTCACACAGTCCAGTCATTCATCATACCATCTGACATGTGGTATATAAGAAAATGAAGTTGATAGAGAAAAAATGATTCGCAGTTCGAAAGGAAACTAAGAAGTTGGCTAAAGCATGTTTCATTCAAGAAATCATCTATCCAACATGGATGACTAACACTGTGATGGTATAAAATAACAACATAAAGTGGATGCCGTGAATGAACTATATAATCCTAAACATCCAAATTACCCATATTCATTGTAAAAGTGTTGTAACAAAAAAAGTAAGTATATTTGAATTTATTGTCTCCACAAGAACTGGTGTGTTTTTAAAATGCGTTCAATAGTTTCTATGATTTCAAAAATGATTTATTGAACTTTGATGTTTAACAAATTAAAAGACATGATGGAGTTAGATTTCATCGACATATCTTTATATATTTTCGTGATCGGTAAAATAAAATTTTAATCAACTATTAATATTATCACATATCATTGTGTCGTAGTTTATCTCTAAATCAACAACTTTAAATCAACTTTATTACCGAATATATGATCTCTCAACCTATTAACCAATACAATAGCAATAAGTTTCGATAGTTTTTGAGGATGCTATCTTTAGAGTTTAGCGTCTAACAAATAAAAAACTTGGATTTAATAATGAAAAATATCTTTAGATATCGATTTAAAACCATGAAAACATGTTATATGTAGCTAATCTAAAATAAGCATTAAAAATGAAGATAATCATCAATATCAAATTATAATCAGGATTACATAAAACACATGATTATAATCGATACACAAGTATTTATACGAACCATATCTAACCTCAATAAAAGAGAGATTAGTTACGCTTACTCATCGTAATTCTACAATTATGATCTAGAAGAAAGAAGTCGAATAACATCTGCCTCGATTTCTCAGACAACGCTTCCGCCTTCAATCTTCCCTTAACTTTTCTCTTTTATTGTGTTTCTGCAAAATGTATTGTAATAGGATCCACCAAAAGTCTTTGAACTGAATGGCTTAGATTGCTATTTATAGTTATGTTGAGGCATCCTCGCTTAGCAAGGCCTTTAGCTTGCCTAGCGAATATGCTTTTCTTACCCTCTAAGTCATGTCCAGCTCATCCTCAAATGGATTTTGGTGCCATACTTCTGTTGATGAGCTGCCCTATCTTGCTCAGTTAGAAAACACTTCATTCACTCTAAAGTAACTTAGTCAAGAAACCTTGAATCTCCATACCTCCCTTAGAGAAGTTGCCACTTTTCATAGCGAGCTAACCCTAACTTCCTCGTGAAGTAACTTGACCTTTAAGAAACCTTGAAATGCTTTGCGTCGTGTGGCGAGGTTGGAGGGTTTACTTTGATTTTGCTTTGTTTTCGCCGGAGCAAGCCCCTCCTGTTCGCATGGGGAGATCTTTGCTTATTGTTTTGTGATTTCCTTGGTTCATTTCACATGTACTTAATACACAGTTGAAATATTCATACAAGTGTTTTGTCTTCTTTTTTATGATGAATTGAGAGATTTCTCTATTGATTACATGTGAATGAAGTTAATAAGTGCTTAAATATTTTATGTAAATTTGACCTACAACCAAATTATGATGAACACCATAATAGCCTTAAAAAATATATAATGACAGATGGTCCAATCTGTTACTACTAGGTCATGTCTTTTGGGATTAAGAATGCATAAGCCACCTAAAAAAGACTCGCAGACAAGGTCTTTGTGAAACACATCGGGAGTAATATTAAGATCTACATGGATTATAAGATAATACCTTGGGTGGTAAGTCTCTCAGAACTTATAAGGTACATTTAAATAGGTCAAAAAGTACACAATGAGGTTGAACACTGAAAAGTTAATTTTCAGGGTTCAAGGCAGCAAATTCTTAGGATTCATGATCACTCATATGGGGATAAAAGTCCACCCTTACAAGTGCAACACAATAATCGAGATATGAAGCCTGATAAACATCCAGGAGGTGAAACGATTAACACGACGGATAACATATTTATTCAAATTCCTTTCAAATCGGTATATACCCGCTCTAACATTTTACCAAGTCCTTAAAAAGGTTGAATTCTTTCAATGAATTCCCTAGTGTGAACAAGCCTCACAACTTGAAGAGGCTCCTTTAGGATTGGGTCTTAACCATGCCAACACCATGTGTTTTGCAAACCATGTACTTAGCATTCATAAAAAAACGGCATCGACTCGCCTCTAATAAAAGAAAGAAAAGGAACACAATACGTTGTGCACATAGTAAGCAAGGTACTACAAGGAGCAGATGGGAGATAACTAGAGTGGGAGAATTTAGTATTATCAACAAAGAGGCTCAAATATTACTTATACTTGCATCCAATAGTATTTAACACTAACTTTCTCATAAAGTAAATCCTACATAAACCAGAGCTCTCAAGAAGAAGAATACCTAGTTAGTGTAACTTTATGCGTTCTAAATCAACTTCAAACCCATAAAGCTCATCAAATTCCATGTCATGATTGAATTGGTAGAAGAGATGACGCATCCACCAGATAACAACCATTGGACTATCTATGTTGATGGTTCATCTAACGTTAATAAAAGCAAGACATGGATTGCCCTCGAAGGATCTAGAAGCCTCAATGTACATAAGACTTTGCGGTTCACTTTAAAGAGCACTATCAACCAGAAATAATATGAATTCACAATAGCATGGCTTTAATTAAGATAGGAAATAAGGTCTCACACCTCCAAGTCAACTATAACTTCCAACTTGTTGTTAACTAAGTCAAAGGAGAGTATTAAGTGAAGGAGGGAAACCTTGGTCGACCACCTGACCAAGGTCTGATGGCGAAGTTCAAAGAGAATACTATCCACCACATATCCCAAAGTGGAAACGCCAAGGCATGCATACTCGCGAAGCTAGCCTGAAAACATCTAGTCAACACAAATCAATCGTGTTTCAATAAGAAAATACCACACCCTCATTATAGTAATAAAATCATGTTTATTAGATTAAATACTTTGTAATTTGAGTTTTTGGTGAATTTGGAATGCCTATGATATGTCTGTCCATAATGTGTCAACTAAGTGTTAAAATTTTGACTTTATAACTCCAAAGGACAGTACTCAAAATTTCTACTGTACAGTTATAAAATAGTCACCATTGCCACTTTTATGAATAAAAAATCATGATTCTCCAGCTACGTTTTTAAACAAAATGACAAGGATTTGTAGACTGTAGTGACTGAATGATACTTTGACTCCACCCAATCTAAAACCAAAATTAGACAGAAATTTAGTGATAGATAAATAGGATTCTACCTCCTTGGATACACTACCCAAATTCAGAATTTGTTCAAAGAAAATAAAGTTTTTTTATCCTGTAAAATTATATTTTTAATTCGTTTCAAAATACATCTTTGTGAAAGTTAATGGGTTTTGAATAAAGCCAGAAAAGAAAGAACAAACACTTTGAATTAGGAGTATCATTTTATATGATTGATGACTTGATATCTAAGTAAACACAAGTCCTAAGAGTTGGCCTGACAGTGGCATAAAGCTGGTTGCCAAGTATTTAAAACAATTGTAGTTCCCAACAATAATTGTAGCTTCAATATTGAAGTTTGAGAAGTCTTCACAATTGTACCACAACCATAATTAAGTTTGCATTTCTCTATAACTATTTGCACTTATGATATTTGCAAAGTAATCACAACTGCAAATGTAGTTAAAAACCATTTTGAATCAAGCAACCTATTCAGTTATAACTGAATTTCAGCTAGATAATCGGACTAAACAAACAAAAAAGGAGTAAATGATTCTGTACTATTAAAAAAAAAGAGCCATGCCTACAAATGCAAGAAATGGTAGTCGAGAAGATCTAGAAAAACTATAATTGAAACTATTAAAAAAGGTCTAGAGACTAATGAGTTGGATAAACATATGATATATGATAGAACAATGTGGTGTCATTTGATCCATGTAGTCGATCCTACTTAGTGGAATAAAGTTTGGTTGTTGTTGTTGATCAAATACAAGAGACTAATATATTTCCAAATAAGCCAAGGAAACATGTCATCTAAACTAGCTCCAATCACATGATCTAGAGTGACGAACAAGAACAACATTTATTAAGGCCAAAATACCTGAAAATCTGATCATGAAATGTAAGTTTTGTCCATGTTGTATGCAACTATGCACAATTGAGTTTTTCCTCGTACAGCTTTAAAAGATAAGAAGACTCGTTCTCAAAACGTTTTATATACGTATCAAGAAACAACTTCTCAGGTATAACAAATGGAATAGTTAAACTTGCATTCTTTTTTCGCAAACCTTTCTTCAGTAGATATTGCACTACTGGTGCCCTTGGAATGATCTTTTTCTCCAAACTGGTTGAAAAAACTAATGGACCTTTGGTAAGGGCAAGAGCATCCCAACCCAACTGATTGACCCAAAAACTCATCACTAAATTAATTTTAGCAATGGAGACTAACATACATCTAGGCTGCCTTTTAAATGCATCGAGAACATCTTCATCAGACCAGCCCCATTTGTTAAAGGCATCGACTTTCTCTTTCCACCGAGTTTTGGTTACTGTTGTTTTTGCAGCCAATGCTACACCAAAGGCTGATTTTGAAGGATTAAAACCCAAATCCTTTAATTCCTCCACCAACTTCGGCATGTCACGTGTATCCAACACCCGAGGCAGCCTCTGAAGCAATCTTGCAATGCTTGAGTGTAGCATTCCATTCTCAATTAACATCCTAATATTACGTGACAATTGGTGGTGACAAAGTAAAGTTGGAGTGTGAACTGCACAAGCAATAGTGTCCTTGTCGGATTGAAAGAATCTACGCGTCAATTCATAGGCTGGGACAATTTGATTGTTGAGGCTTGTACACAAAACACAGGGGCTTTTAGTGACAAGCTTAACAATGTCAGAGTAAGAGGCACCTTTGGAGAGAAAAAATTGAAACTTTGGCAAGACCGTTTTGGATGGGTTGCAGGAAAGGAGATAGGGTCCTTTTGCAATCAAACCGCGTAGTTGGGGTTCTGAGAAACCGTAGTTTCTGAAGAAGTTGAGAACTGAATCAGGTTTTTGGGTGGTTTTGAATTTAACATGGTAAGTGGAGCATAGTTTGGAAGCAAATTGTGGGGAGAAACCGAAATTGTGGATGAGGTAGGAGACTGCAAATGAGGTTGAATCGGAAGTGTTGGTTGAAAAATAGAGAGAAATTTGTGGGGAAGTTAAGGATTTGAGATAGATTAGGGTTTTGTGGCGCCATGTGCTGAAGTTGAACATGGTGAAAATTGAAGGTCTTATACTATTACTATATACTGAAAGAGGTAACACTAATTTCTTCAAGTTTGAAGGTCTTATTTTTACAAATTATTTCTTCAGGTTTGAAGGTCTTATTTCTACAAATTACAGTAGCTATATAATTTTATGATATCTTTATGTTAAATGTCTCGATGGAGTTTCTTACCACAATTTCTTTAAATTTGTAGGTTTTAAAAAAAATATCGGTCTATTAAGTAAGTATCAAGATGGGCTAAATAGTACCATCAGTTGCATTACATGATATTAGTAAATTAAAACTATTAACTGTTATACTTTAATTATTTTAACATGTGTATTCCAGGGATATTTTTAGTAGTTACTACTACGATTTTTTATTTATTTAATAATAATAAATTGAAAAAAAAAATACATAAATAATCATGTTTCAAAGAAAATTATGCAAATAATTATGTTTTAGAAAATACTTAAATAGAAGAGTCAACTCAGATGATGCATCCTCTTTATTTTTATATGGAGACGCCAAGTGAGATGATGCATATGTGCAATGTGTTTGTCTTAAGTCATCTCAAATGGCGTCTAAATGTTTTTAACTTCCATTTTTTTTTTTACTTTTTTTTTAAATAAGAGATAATAATTAAACGATATAGCTTGATGAAAGTTCGATTTTTCAATAACAAATGAACGATTACATAATGAAAAAAACGATTGCATATTATTTAGTTGTCCCCCGGAACTCGATAACGATTCGTGGTTCCGCACCCGCGTCCTCGCCTAACTCGTGGTGGGTTTCGTCGATTTTTCTGTTGCGGTTAGGTCGATGGCCCAGCGAAGTCAATGCGTTCAGGATCCATGAAATCTGTCAGATCCGCTTTGGTACAGTCGGTTACCCATGCCCTCAAAGTTTGGTCGTCTTGGTGGAGGGTGGGGTTTCATGGATGGTCGATATCACTTGTCGTCTGAGTAAGGGGGTAAAAAGGAAATGAATCTTAAGGTGTTTGATATTGCGATTGTTGGGTGCTATGGTGATGTGGTGGTTTATGGTAAGTTGGGTCAGTTGGGTCATATTCTCCAAGAAAGCCTAGATCTAGGCTAAGGTGAGATGATGAAGAGGCCACATCGGGATGTTCAGAATACTGGAACTATGTGTGGGGCATGAAGGTGTATTGATATTAGGATTGGGATTGGGGTTGGGTGTTGGGCATATGGGTGTATTGGTATTGAGGCGGTGATTGTGGTTGGTGTTTATGGATCTGTATCATCGTGGTGTTTGGTGGAAGGTTGATGTACGTTGGGTTTGTTGTTGGGGATTTAAGGATCGTGTCCATTATGTTCGTGGGTCGATCAAATACCTCGGGTGAGACACGTGCATTTCTGGGTTACTAACCGATCTGTACTAATCAAAATACTGATTTGTATGTCGCATATTATTCCGGTTGAGGAAAATAGGGAATTGTAAGACATGTTGGTGACGCTTATGCCACATCTTACACCATTCTGAAGCAAAATTTTTCCAATTAGTAAGACCCCATTGGGCGTCGACCCTTTTGAGATGCCAAGGTGACAAACAAGTTAGATCGCATGGTATCTTTTGATGCATTCCGAACTGCATCTTGACACGGCCGCTGTGATGCATCTTGAAGAAGTGAAAAACACAAGAATTGGGGGTTGAATTGAAACTTTAAAATCAAAAGCAATAGACACGATATTTTTATCTTGATTCGTTTAATCTCAAACTACTTCAGTCCACCCGCCAAGGTGATTTCGCCTCTCTCCAACGAGGACTTAATTCACTAATCAAAACTGATTACAACACACCTTTGACAACTGCCAAAGTCTTCTTGAGTACAACCACAACCCGATTTATCTCAAGGAAAACTAGCTTAATCAAGATAAAATAATCAACTGTGTACTGTTGTTTTTCCTTATAAAAACGGTATCACTACTGTGATATTTTACACAATTTGAGCGTATATGAGAATATGAGATATTGCAGCATCTGAGAGGTATTCGTAGTTGTGTATCAAAATCGTAAATGATTTGTCCTTTAAGCTTGTTTATATAGGCGTGGAAATCTTGTCCAACATAAAGCGTGATAATGGACACTCAATGTTATTCCATATTGAGAAGATTCTTGTCTGAATGAAGTTGTTGCATATGATGTTGTCTTAATTGAAAAGTAACGCTTCAGAACTTAGAATCTTGCATGCTGCAATTGCTTAAGAACATTGATGACTCAGAGATGTGTGGATCTGATGGTATATTAGACTTCTGTTCAAAATCAGAGTATTCTTCACTTCAGGGCAAATTCTGATGGTATATTAGACTTTTGTTCAGAATCAGAGTATTCTTCACTTCAGCGCAGATTCTGGTCATCATTCTTCAGAATATTATGATTACCTCAGCTTAAAAGCTTCTGTAGCGTAATTTGATGTTGTTTCAGTCAGAACTTCTGCATACAAAATAACACAAATTTAGAGTGCATATTTATTCTTTGTGTTTGTTATCATCAAAACTCTAATTAAGGGTTGTAGAATCAAACTATGTTCTAACAATCTCCCCCTTTTTGATGATGACAAAAACTAGGATTTTCAATGAAAAATATAGAACAAAAAGCTTAAGAGAGTCTTCCCCTGAGTTGATTTCTCAGATAGAAATGAGTTACTTCCCTGAAGTTCCTTCTCGTCAGAGCTTTTAATGCATCTCATTCTGTCCTTATCAGAATATGTTCATGTTCAAGCTTTTCAGAAAAACATAGAGGTTAAGATATTCAGAATGTTTGAGACTTTGTCCCGGTATACTGTTATTGAAAATATCTTACTTTCTCCCCCTTTTTGTTAGGTATCAAAAAGCAATATAATTAGAGTTAAAAAGATGATTTATATTGAAAACAGAATGCAATGACAATTTTCAGAAATAAGGAGGATAAGATGAAAAATACAGATAAACAGTTAAAGAAAATCTAAGAAGGAGGGGGAAGTCGTGTGAACAACGCTTCCAACAAGCTCTTAATCTGAGTGCTTGATTCTTCTTGCTTTCCCATAATGTCTTTGATTTATTTTGTTGTATCTTCTTGTTTATCCAATATATCCCCGATCTCTTTGTTGGTGTCTTCTTGCTTGTCCAGTCTGGAATGGATTAAGGCATTCTCCTTCTTCAACTCTTCCAGAGTTTGCATGACTAGAGATGAAGCTGGTGTATCTTCAGGGGTTGCATGTTGTTCAGAACACTCTGCAGCCTCTTCTGATTGAACAACTTCTTCTGTTGCAATCACCTTTTCTGGAGCAGTAGTCAGAGGGTCACTATCAGAATCTGGTTCAGTGGCTTCTGAAGGTTGGTGCTCTTTCCAGGGAGCATTATCCAGCTGAAGAATTTCTTTCTTGTCCCAGTGGCTTAGAACTTGATCTTTGAAGGCTTTTAGTTGATCACTGAAGTTTTGATGAGCCCTTTCATAGCTCAATTCTTTCAGCTTCTGGGTTTCAGAGTTGAATCATTTTCTGAATCTTTCCCACAGAGAATCAGAAGCAGCAGGATTAGAAATCTCTTGACTTGCTTGCTTCAAAGAAGTAATCCATTCATGTATTTCTGTTTCAAAAATCAACAGATTCTTACCAACATCTGATTTGGTTGAGGTTGGTTTAGGTTTAGAGGTGGCAATTTTGTTTGAGGTGGAAGCTAGATGGTCCAGCGCTTGTAGATCAATGACAAGTCTGAGTTGGCCAGCTGAACGGTTGATAGGTGAGGGAGTGGAAGAGTCAGAAATCAGGATTGGTAAGTAAGGGGTGTTTGGTGGAGTGGATTCATATGGTGAAGGTATTTCTGGAATATCATGAATATGGAGAGGTAAACAAACCATAAGAGGTTTTGTTATCCCAAGAATTGGGGTAGTGGTATCAGAGTCTGAAAGGGAGTCTTCTGATTGGTTTACGGTAACGTGTTGAATTTCTGATTCATGTATTTCAGAAGATGGATTTTCAGATTGAGGAGTGAGAGGGTTTTCATTTTCTGGTTGGGGGTGAGTTGAGGTTTTGATGTTCTAGTTGAGGAGAGTGTAGTTGTGGATTTTCTGATTGTTGAGGTTGAGTGTTTGGATTTTCTAGTTGTTGAGGTTGAGTGTTTGGATTTTCTGGTTGTTGAGGTTGAGTGTTTTGATTTTCTGGTTGTTGAGGTTGAGTGTTTGGATTTTCTGGGAGTGGTGAGGAAAATTCTTGATCAAACAGTTCAATATCAGAGAGAACTCTTGCAAGTTCTGGTTGATGTTGTTCTGGATTTGGATTGGGGGAGTGAGGTTCATTCAAGAAATTTCAAAGAGGTACAGATGGGTCAAACTCTATGTTAAAATCCTCAAATGTTTGGGGTGAAGGATTTTTTGTTGGTTGATGGGGAATGGTTTCAGATGTTGGAATATCTATTGATTCTACAACATAAACAAAAGATGGGTTACCTTTCTTTTTCGCAGCTTTGGGTGTCCTCTGAGAGGATCCTTCTCCTGCTGCATTCCTCTTTTTGGATTTCTTTAGCACAACCTCTGGAGCTGGCTTGTGCGGATCTTGGATGTTTATTTCTGGAATAGTCCCATCAGCCTTGCAAGCTTCAAGGTATCTGACTATAATCTATGGAGAGGCATCTATCTCAGAGAATAGTGGAAAATCCTTCAGAGGGATTCTCCTAGAATTGATGGCCTCATGAGAAGCAATTGTTGGTTCCTTCTTAATGTTTTCAATAATCTTCATTTTCTTCAGATTCTTGGAATTCAAAGGTTTCCCAGCAGTTGCTTCCAACTGATTTCTTGAGCCTCTGTCAGATGTTCTATCAGACTGTTTTCCGTTAGAATATCTGAAATCAATCTTCCTAGAGGAATCCAATCCCTTTTAGTTCTTTCTTCTTCTCTTGTCTCTTTCACACTTGTTCTAAGATGGTTGAAGAGCAAATGTGGAAGGTTTATCTTGGTCTTCTTTGCAATGAAGTAAATCAGAAACTGCTGATCAATGTTGATCTAATCA